AGAGGGTGGGGGGCTGGAGAAAGGGTGGGAGAAACAGAGAGATCACGGCGAGTATACAAACCACTAGACGGTACAGGTATAGTGGCAAAAGACGGTGTTGGCAGGGACAGATAAATGCTAGGTTAAAAAGAAGAGACAGCAGCCAAAAAAATGAAAAACAAAAAAAAAAGAAAAAAAAAACAAAAAATGATTTGTTGATGTTGGTTTTTTTTTTTGACACCACCTTGACGTTCCACGTTATTTGGGAAATACATAGGGATGTCATTTTTCCTTCAGTATTCGACGTAAAATTATTTGAAGGATTTCGAAAAGAAATCCAATTTTACAGAACGTAGGTTAATAAATGGAAACGTAACAAAGGAAAAACATAACACTAACCATAGGAAAAAATGAAAATCAAACAACGAAAAGATCTGCTAGAGTGTTAAAATGTATAAGGATTTTTTAATATGGAGGTTGTAGGGTGTTAAAATGTTACCCAAGGCTCTGAGACTATATTTATAGAGATGATAGAAAAAAGTTAATAGATTGTTACGAGAAATTTTATGAATGGAAGTTGCAGCATTTTGAAAGGGTGCGAAATCCAAATGTATCAACCTCTTTTTTGTGTTTGTATCACTCCTTCAAGCTTTTCAACATGACAAAGAATCAAAACCACAATGAAATGACTCGTTTTTGTCAACTTGGAGGAGCTAATACAAACACACAAAAAAAGCTAACACAAAGAAACATTGAAGGAGTTCTTACGAGAAATTTTATAAATGGAGATGTAGAGGTTATCCAAGGCTCTAAGTATGTATTTATAGAAAAAAAAAGAATAACTGCTTAGAGCCAAATTAATGTGCCTAACTACTCCAATGGAAATCACGTCGGAGTCCAAAAGAGTTGGACGTTTTGTGGTTGGTTTAAAAGAAAAAAGGAAACATAATAAAAAAAAGATTAACCTTTTGGCTTCTGACTGATCAATAAAACGTCGAAGCCTTAGAAGAATATGACGTGTAATTGAGTTACTTTATGCACATAATAAAACGTCGAATAGGAAGTGGTTCGTCGTTAATATTCAGTAGGACGTCGCAATAGAGTTTGTTTTTTAAATTCATAAGTGTTAACATTTTCTGCTGGTTTTCTACCATGCCTTCATTGTTAACAAGGAACTGTCTTCGTTTAGTGAGAATTCATTTTGTGCTGTTACTAGAGGTTTTGAATTGACTCTATAAATATAATGCTTTACTCTATACAATTGCACAGTTTGATCATTTTTGAATAATTCATTTTATCGGATGGTTTAAAAGAAAAAATTAAAAACATAATTGCAAAAAAAAACGTCGTTATATGCCTGATGTTGGTCGCTCCTTTTTTTTATTTTTATCTTTTTTTATTTTTCCTTTTTAACCTCCAATAACACGTTTATTTTGAAAATATTGGACGTCCTCTATGGGGTCTGTTTTTGAAATGATTTGAAGGAGTTTATGAATTTTGTGAATGTTGTAGCGTTTTGAAAGGTCTTGGAGTTGTCATAAGTTAACACAAAGAAACCTTAGAATTGTTAAAAGAAATTTTATAAATGGATGTCTACATAAATAATTACTTTTAGGAAAGACCTGATATGGGCCTGAAATGGGCTTCAATAATAAAAGACAGTCTACGCAAATGATATATGGGAAAATGCAGTTTGCTGCTAGAAACGAAGAGGTTGTCAATTTCTTCAAACTTCCAAATTGTCTTTTTGGTTTAATTCTTTTTTCTTTTTCCTTTTTAAATTCTCATAGAACGTCTAACTCTAGGGGGGTTCGACGTGAAAGGCATTGGAGTCATTGTGAGCATTAATTTTGTGATGTTACCAAAGGGACGTCCACGTTATTTGGGAATTACATAGGGACGTCATTTTTCCTTCAGTATTCGACGTAAAATTATTTGAAGGATTTCTAAAAGAAATCCATTATTACGTAGGTTATAAATGGAATCGAAACAAAGGAGAAACATAATAACACTAAACATACAAAAAAAATGAAAATCAAACCACGAAAAGATCCGCAGGATTGTTAAAATGTAGAAGGATTTTTGTGAATAGAGGTTGTAGCGTTTTGAAAGGGTGCAAAATCAAAATCTTTCACCCTTTTTCTTTGTTAAAATGTAGAAGGATTTTTTTTAATAAAGTCTGTTTTAAATTCATAAGTGTTAACATTTTCCTCTGGTTTGCTACCATGCCTTCATCGTTAACAAAAAAAAAATTCATTTAGTAAAGGAAATGACAACAAACCAACGAAAAAAAGTTAACATGAATTTGTTTACAGAAGTTCTGTAGTTTAGTGAAGGAGGAGTAGCGTTTTGAAAGGATGCGAAATCCATATCTATCAACCTTTTCCTTTGGTTTTATATACTCCTTCAAGCTTCTTTGTGTCCTTGAAGGAGATAACAAAAAACACAAAGAAAAAATTTAACAGATGGAGTTCATAGCAAAAATTTTATCAATGGATGTCTACAGGTTATGTAAGGCTCCGAAACTGTATTTATAGAAAAAAAGAATAACTGCTAGCTGAAATATACAACGTCCTTCTTTTGTTATGATTGACCTCATATTAATTAAATCAATATTTAGTATTTATTTATTTTGTATTGGACGTCGACTACTTTCTTACTGACGTTATGTGATTACGACAATCACGTCCAACCCCAACTTGTTCGACGTTGTATATTGTTTTAAATGTCGACCCCATAAAGTTTGGGACGTTATGTTTGGTTTATAAGAGAAAAGAAATAAAGAATAAAAAAGGGATTTACACTTTGGCTTCATGCTGCCATATAAAACGTCGAATATTTGTCATGGTTGACGTTATGTGATTCTAAGATCATTGTTTTACGTCGTGTTGGTCTTATTTGACGTTAATACATTTTAGATTATGTCGATATGTTTCTTGTTTGACGTTAATACATTTTAGACGGCGCACTATTTTAGTAATTGACGTGGAGCAAATCAATTTATTTACGAAAATGTCACCGATCATTTTTAATGTTAGATATTTAGTGCTACGACGTTGAACACGTGACGTTATACGTTATTTTTCCACTAGTGATAAGTCATCTATTAAAGTATCAAATACATAACAATACATAATTTTAAATAAAAAACAAAAACATTGTGTCCAGTCTTAAAATAGAATCCTACTTTATCCAACTTTCTAATAAAAAATAAATTGGCTAAAATATGTTTTTATTCAATATTTGTTATTTTTATTCAATTTAGTCCCCTTTATTTATTTATCTTTTGTTTCAATTAAATCTTATTTTATGTTATATAGATTTAATTTAATCACTTTCGTGTCGTATCACATGTCAATTCAGTGTCATGTGTAAATTTAAGTATCATGTATCAATGTCAAGGTCACAGTAAGTTTTACTCAATTGAGTCTTTTTCTTTTTCAAGAAAAAAGAATAGAATAACATACATCACCAAGATAGCTTGATTAGGAGCACAACCAGATTAGATATAATATATAGAATTATATAAACTTGCTAAGCAAAAATGCAAAACCTACAATACAAAGAACTCTAGTGCTTTTACTCATCAGACGAGTTTTATAAGTAAAAGTCAAGAGGTATACTCGTTGAACAAGTGAAAGTATGATAAAAATATCAAAATCCAAAAACAAATTATATACTTAACTCACCGAACGAAAAAGTCTCACTAAATAATATATATATATATATATATATGTATATATATATATATATATATTGAAAATACAACTATGTATGGTGTGATATGTGAAGTGTATTAATGTATTTTTTATTTTATTAATATGAAATTTAATAAAGAAAAACATTTAGTTATAAAAGTCGAAAAAGATTATTATATGTAAATTTTGTATAAGTATCGAATTATATATATAAGATTTAAATTTACCATATGATATCTTTAATAAAAAAATGTGTATTTGTGATACTTTTCAGACTTTGATAATTGAATATGTGTGACTTTTAACAAGATGTATGATTCTTAAAGTCCCGTACTTAAAAAAAAGTAATATAATATAAAAAGTCTAACTTATTTTGTGTTTTGTTGTAGATTTGGTGTCTTTCTATTATGATTGTGTATATTACGAAAATATAGAATAATACAAAACCCAAAGAGAAGCATCGAGAGTGTCTAATTGAATTTAGAGTTTAGATATGAATATTTATGATATGTAATAGTTTTGTTCTTTATCTCTTTTGAAAACTTAAGGACTGCACTTATAATTTTCTGTCCATTATGAATAATTCGCGTGATATGAATAGGTAATTTATTTGGTAATATAATTGGGTCGTTACATTGAATTCATATTTCAAAACTACGCATAAGTAAACATAATTATTAAGTTATGTTTTGAAACAATATCGATTTGTGGTCAATATTGAAAATATTTATAAATAAAATTAGTTACACTTAAAACGAAATATGTATAAACTTTCTTTACAAATCTGCGCAGTGTTACGAGGAGTTAGAGTTATGCCAATTGTTCAGCATAATATGATTTTCAGAAGAAATCAACAAGTTTAGCACTGGAATGAATTAAAAGCTACATGGAAAGATCATAGCTTTTCCAGATTTCAACCTAAGGTATGAACAGGAGAACAAATAAAATAATACACAAAAATACAGAACCTAATGCACAGCTAATGACTCCATGTAAAATTTCAGACACACTCAAAAATACATCAGCCAAAATAACCAATTTTCATTTGAAAGATTAAGTAGGAGTCTAATTATAGTACTTACCTAATAAATAGAATAAGTGAGGGAACGAATTAATTATGTACTTTCTGTCCTCTCAACTTATTTTCTATCTTCTCTGTATGTTCTGCATCTCTACATCGATGTAATAGTGTACTTTCCTTGTAAGAAATTTAATGAAGTAATAACATTTCCTTGTAGATTATCACCTTACAGACAAGATCAAATTACAGAATGCCAAAACGATCATTACATATTTACAATCTGAAAAATAAAAAAACAGAAATTCCAAGTCGCAAAATATTTCATTGATCTCAAAGCTGTAGATAAAAGAGCCTGAGGTCATCATTTAAAAGTTACTACAGACTTGATTGTTGCCCATACGAAATGGGTTGGCATGAATGAACCGATCGATATACAATTGCAACAAACAATCAAAAGGGCTTCATGCCATCATCAATAGGAGTATATGAGCAAGGGAGGGTTAGGTTAAATTTCATCAACAAAAATCCTCAATCATGGGCAGCCTATACCTACGTTATTTTCCACCCATTTTAATCGCATCAGCTGGTGACTTCAGTAGCTTCTTTAGAGAATCAACTATGCTTGCAAATGATGGGCGATCAGCAGGTTTACTGTGCAAAAATTACCAACCGTCAGAAACAAATAAATTTTACAAAATGTATCCAGGTTAGCAAGCCATTTTTTTCCCTAGGGAGTAGAAGTTCCCGATATATAAAGTGAAATTGTAAATCAGAAGGTCCTGTAAACGGCTAAACTCAAAATACTAACCCAATACTCAACAATTCCAAAATGAAATTCATTCACTCAGCTACTTAAATACAACATAAGCGAATGCAATAACGCACAAAAAAGCCTGTTAATATTAATGTAAATGAGTTATTGGTTATTCGGAAATTTCAATAGACAGAAGAAATGGCAAATATAACACTTACTCAGCCCAACAAGCTTCCATGAGAGAGGCCAACGCTTGGGAAATGTTTGGAGGGATAGCAAGCCTCCTATTCTGGAAGGCGACAGCTCCAACTACCTGAACGCACACATAAAGATTACTTTAAAAAATTGACCAATATACTTAGCAGGTTTCGTTTTGCCAAATAGCTTGTTTGAATTACGTAAGTTTGCATTACACCTCTTTCCGTTATAGTTCCTGCTACGTTTTAAATTTTATAATTTCTTGTGGTGATACCTCACATGAAAATATTAAGCAAGAAAAATCAACTTTATAAGCATAACAAATTCAGACCTGAATGCTCATAAAAAATTACCTGGGCATGACTAAGTCCATTCCACGGTTGTTGCAGGGTCACAAGTTCCCACAGGATAACTCCAAAACTGTAAACATCAGACTTCTCATTTGAAGGTTCTCCACGAAGAAATTCTGGAGCCATCCACTCAGGCTGAAAATAAAATTAAGAGAGTTACACACTTATTGAGGATGTGGCACCGTGAAGTGAAAGTTCAACCTGCAAAATATTAATAGAATGACCACTTTGTTGAAAGAAAATGCATCTATCTACAACAACATGCACAACCTACTAAACCAGATAATTTGCTTGACAAAAAATTGCTTCCTCAAAACACACCTGAAAATAACACATTATCCCCACCCAAAGACCGAACTGTCATCAAACAATTGACAACCATACATACTGGTATCTAAATTACTATTATATAATTGAACTAAGCACTAACACCAGCTTATAAAGGAAACGTTGATAAGAAATGACAGGACTGTTGTCTATTTGAACAAGGAGCACTCATGTCAGCGACATTAGTTGAACTCTTTACTTCAAACCTGAAATTGCTACTCAAATAATTTTCAAACCTAACGTGCATAATTCTTTTGGTTATGACCATGCTTATGTACAAAATCTGAGAACAATAAACTTACAGTTCCAGCAACAGATTTTGATGACAAGAAAGTGTTCGCCTTAAATCTGGACAATCCAAAATCACACACCTGAGCAAGAAATGAAAAAAAAAATCATTTATTAGCAAAATTATTTTACAAAAATTCAGTGAGAAACTCGTCTGATCAATCTTTTCCATTATACCTTGACAGTCCAATTTCTGTCCACTAACAAGTTCGGGGTTTTGAGATCCCAGTGCACAATTGGAGGCTTCAGACAGTGGAGATAATTTATCCCTTTAGCCTACGACCAGATAAATTATGTATCATACATCACAATATATAATATCCAATTGATCAGAGAAAAATAACAATATCTGGCAGGCACAAACCACGTCTAAAGCCATCCGTAACCTTCTCCTAGGATCTAGAATTTCACCAGATGCTGGCTTATGTATTAGGCGGAATAAACTGCCCCTGTCATAAACGCACCAGGAAACAACCATAAGACACTCAACTCAAACCATTATGAAAGAAAATTCAATATAATTTTACTCTAAAAAGGGGTTGGATGGCTTACCTAGGCAAATATTCTGTTACTATAGATAGATGTGGACGTTTAGTAACCGCACCCATGAAAAGTACCACATTTGGATGACGAACTCGTTTCATTATTGCAACCTAAAAATCATGAAAATATCAACTTGAATATTAACTTGCTTCGTTTGCCCCATTACATAAGGAGCCAGAGAAGAGTTTTGCAAAATGAATTCCCAACATTATTGTACTCAACTTAAGGACACAAAAAGGGATATAAGTTAGGGGCGACATGACACTTACCTCTCTCAGAAATTCTTTCAACTGATCATCCTGGAAATCCTGAACTGTTAAAACCTTGACAGCAACATCCTGCAATTTTAAAACCACAGTAAAATACACCATTACGAGTGAAAATTATAATAGACAAATAATAAGCTGCATTGAACATATTTATTCAAGGAGGCCATACAAGATAAGTCAATGGTTTGATACAATAAAGTCATCATGCAATCAAAAGCAATCAATCCGACTTAAGAAATTAGGGACTACAAAAACAATACGAAGCAACATTCACAAAGGTGTTTGTGCATAAGTACGTATTAAAACTTACCGATCCATGCCATTCAGCACGATACACTGTCCCAAATGATCCTACACAGAGAGAAGATAAATTAGATTCGAAGTCACCAGGCTAGTCGCGTGCTCTAAAAAAAACAAGAAGCAGAAAATTTACCAGCACCAACACGCTCTTTGATTCGTAAATCGTCCCAGGGTATCTCAAGCCAGTCCATTGCAAGTGATGGTTCAAGATTCAAGTATCTTGGAATATTACCAGTATCCTGATTTTCAAGTTTATTTTTTACGTGTTCCTGTTCTGATTCGGTGGATGAGCTCAGTATGGATTGCTTATAGATGCTTTTTACCCCAGAACTCCCCTTTACAACGATCTCTTTGGAAGCTTCTATAACTACAACTGAATCTTTACAGAGCCTGGGGTATTCATGAATCGATGCCCCAGAGACTTCGCCAAGATCTTCAGAAACACCTTCATGGATGGGAGGAAAATTTAATAAACCCAGAACAGCACATTCCTTATCATTCCCTTTCAAGCCACAAGGAAATAGAGGTTGCTCTGTACCTCCACGAGTTTGATCTATTGCAGAATAAATAGAGCCATTATTATTTTTCAGTCGATCAGTTTCGTCAACTCGTTGATCTTCATGTACAAAGCCTGCAAGATATTGAGCAACAACTAAGAAAAACTTCAATGGAAAAGAATGGCCTCTGAAGGAGTGTATCGAGATTAACGGCTACATGGATTATGAATTTGAAATAAGGAGTAGGAAGACCAAATTTCCAGGTATATATAAAGCACAACACACCTGAATAAGTGTTATCAAGAGATTGAGAACATGCTGTAACATCCACATAAGGAGATTGGGATTCTTTCAAATGAGAAATTTGAAATGGGGAAGGTATTGATGACGCATATGCTCCGTTAATTGAGGAATCTGGCCCAAGGATATTTCCTGGCTCCCCAACCAGATCAACTACATATTCTCTGTAGAAAATATGAAATAAACGTCAGGCTGTTTATAAGGTGATCTAGAAGACTATAACAGTTAATTGAATGATCTACAATCTGTATAAATCATTAGTCTCGAGCCAAAATTTTGAAACGAGCAAACTAAACAGAAAGGTAAAACATACAACTTAACAATCCACAAATTTGTAAGGACAATGAAGCCCGGAAAATCTAGATAATTATGAAAAGGTATAAGTAAAATTAACAATAGAACTCTAGGGCAAGAAAAAGTAAAAATGATCATAACAACTGAAGTGACCCGCTACGATTATCGCCAAAGAAGAAGTACGTGGGCAGAGACATATTTTGTTTAACTTCAGTATCAAAACAAAACTCAGAAGAACAAAGCAAAGAAAAGGACCATTGCGCTAACCTTGAGAGCTGTCTGTCATCTTTAATCTTGACAAGGCAAGACGATCTATGATCTGAAACACAGTACCTACAACCTCGAGCAATGCGGCATGGCAAACCAATGTAATCTGCCAATCTCTACATCCGCAAAACCCAAATAAAAAGGAATTATTTGAAAATAGTAAATATAGATTACAAAAATCAATAGGAAAAGACTAACACTTGCTCCTCTTACAGTATCCAAATGATACAACAACGAAGAAACATATTCTTCACCTTGAAGAGAATCGCGCGATGTCTACAGAGTCCACTGGATAAGCTACCAACAGGAAGGACAACACATTGGTGAAAGTTTCTCAACCTCTTGCTAACCAACTTCCACCGCTTGTGTAGATCTCCTTGCTCCACAGGGAACGTACCCCTTCACACACCCCATCCCACACCAAATAAGCAAACAGACAGCAAAAAACAATAATAATAATCAAAGAAGGACGTAAAAAAAGTAAAAAGTACGGTGTATCGTATTCTTACGGTATTATCTTACCCCATGCATATGGCAACGAGTTTTCCGAGTTTCTCCACCAGCACCAACGCGTTCTCCGAAGCAGAATACAACTCCTGAGCTTTATCTTGAAGCTCCTTAAGCCGAGAGTCCTCGTGTCTATCGAAAAGAACTACCTCTATGGAGGTCTCGCTTGGTTCAACCGCCTTAAGCGCCATCAGCGTCGGTAAACGCTTCCCTTCTTCCTCGACATCATTGCACATCACCCAAAGGTACGGATTCATCCCCAATATGTTATAAAAACCATCAGATATCTTGTCCGTGTACGACAAACATCCACTCACCTGAAAATCAACCAAAAGAATAAGTTACTAAACTATAACCTACAGCTGCCGCAAGTGTAGTTTCATTTCGTTGTCGTTAGTAAGTACGTACCCATAAACGATACGAAACCGATTCAGCGTCCCAGGTTTCGGGACCAGCGTCGAGTGCGAGAACAGGTTCAGAAGCGAGGCTTGCTAAACAAGAGAGTCTCTGCGCCAAAGCCATTTGCAGGTAGTACCTCTCCTTATACTTCTGCGTCGTATTGCGTTTTACGTTTTCTTCCTCTTCTTTCCTTTTTCTCGCGTCTTCTTCAGTAAAGACTTGAAACGATGACGTTTCGTCTTTCGTAACGTCGCTGGAGAATGTGGCGGTGCCGTCCAGCGTGAACAAGCTCCCGGCGTAGCTGCTCCCGCTGGACAACCGCGGCAGCGAAACCTGCCGGTCGAAGCTCCGGTCAACAGCATCCTTCACCACCTGCGCCGCCGCCGCCGCTTCTTCAGGCGGCGGCGGAGGAAGTAGATGCTCATGTTCATCTTCTTCGTCCTCGTCGTCGTTAGGATAAGTTCTTAAACGGTGACTCGGTCGATTGAGGTCCTTCTTTTTGTCGATCAACCAATCGCAGAAGGCGGCGATTTGCTTCTGTTTGGTGCGGAACTTGTCGGCACCAGTGAAGAGGTCGGAGACTGCGGATTGCTTACCGGATGAGAAAACGACGTCGTCGTTGTCTTTAGAGGCACGCGTGGGAACCGGTGCTGGCTTTTTCGGCGCGTCGCTTTCATATTCAAAAGTTGTATCCGATGATTTGATAGAATTGACGATTTTTCTCTTTTCATGATCCAATATCTGCTTCGAAGACTCATCCAAAGTTCTCTCGGGGAACTGCCTCGGGAAAAAGTAAGTCGCTCTGTGAGGCATGTTCAGAAAAATCTCCCTGTTCCTTCACTCAAAAACCGTGATCTCAACAACCACAACCACAAAAACAACCTTTCTTCTTTTAACACACACGATGGAGGTGCAACCTCTCACGTGCGAAGACGAACTACTCTTCTCCGTGGCCGTCGCCTGTCTCGCTGAAGCAAAACCAAAGACACTATTGCCTTATAACAGTAACCGCCACGGAGCTCGGTTTGTCGCGTATTCCAGTTCAGTCAAGAAGTTGCGGATTGGATGATATACTCCGTTCAAATCTGGCACGTGCGTCCAAAGTCGATGACGACGAGGCCAGCAGCAATTGACCCCTCGCAGAACGTGGAGGCAGCGTGAGTTCCTAAACGTAGTTTTTTAATTCAAACAACAATAAAATAAATAAAATAATGATAAGAAGAAGCAGCAGAACCGAATTCAGAAATGGCGTTTACGAGGCGGTGGAAAGCGTAACAGAGAGAACGAGAAAGAGAGAGAGAGAGAGAGAGAGAGAGAGAGAGAGAGAGAGAGTTAAATTTGGTGGAAGCTATGGTTGTGAGAACCTTGTATTTTATGCAGAAGAAAGGGTTGGCAAGCTAGTTGAGGGATCATGGAATGCTGCACCGGATGGGGAATCCAAAAGTGTGAAGTCAGTGCTAACGTACACTGCCGGAGTTAGTGCGCACCCTTCGTCATGTTGCGCCACGTAAACCACTCACCAATGGGATTTCTACACGTAAACCGAACGCACGTGCTTTTCTTTTGGGCAAACAATAAACTAAATTTTAAATAATGAAAAATACGAAAAATAACACTTAGAATATTATATTATTAACTTAAGCTAAACTTAGATTGTGTTACTAATAATTCTTTTAAGTAGCACTTAACAATTTTTTGTGACGCTAAATAAGTGTTACTAAAGATGGTTTTGATTTGATTTATACAATAGTGGCATGTGAGGAGTGTAACACTTTTGGGAGATACGAGCGCAACAGTGTGATATTGATGGTTGGGTGAATGTCTTGTATGTGTGCTGTAAAGAGTATTAGGGTTACTATTTTGGAGTTGAAATTTTTATTGTTTTTCCTCTTTCTGCTCCTTTATTCACTTGCTCTGCGTGAACCAATCCACATCTTAATCTAATTCAAGCTTTTCTAATTGTTTTTTCGTTAAACAGGTATACTTCCTCGTGCTTAGATTTTCTTTCCCTTTTTGTACACTCTCTCTGCAGGATTGTCGTATCTTTGGCTTTATGTTCCGCACCGTTAAAACTATAATCCCCTATTTTATTATATTATATATTTATATTTCTTTTTTCATATTGACCACTCTTATTGTTTTATTTACGTAAAGACTTTAACACGAAGCTATGGTAATAATATTATTTCAAAACAGTTGGTGTGTTTTGAAGCGATTTGTTTTTTTTTTTTTTGAAAAAAAATTGAAACTTGAATATGAATCATAGATCTATACTTAACTTGATTTGGCACAAAAGGAACTTTATATCATTCAATATATACCAAAAGAAGTTGTGATTTTATGAAAGAGATATGATAACATGTGACCATAAACTCGTGTACATATAATTGTGTCCATATACTTCGAATATGCTAAGGAACCGTGACATACTTTTATGTATACACTGAAGGTTTTCATTATCTTACAACAAAATTTCAAAAATTGCCTAATGATTTTTAATCAAACTTTTCAATTGAATAGTTGATGTAACGCATTTCCTAGAATCTATCTACCTCAATTGTCTACAGTAGTATACACAATTTAGACCATTTATAAATTAACTCAGCTTACTTTTTAAATTCACTAATATAATTATGTTGTATTTATTAGAAATTAAATGAGTTGAAATTCTTATATAATAAAAATAAGTTTTTAAAATACTTGTCTCTCACGTTTTCATATACATGTTATAATTTACATTACTTGAAAATTTTCCATTGCACCATAGAAGTTTGTGCAACATACCTCTTATTAAGTTCTTAAGAAATCATATCTCAATTAAATCTAACAAAGTTAAACTTTTTTATTTTTATGTATATACTTCACATTGATAATATATAAATATAGTTCTTACATATCTACTACATAAAAGAGTTGTTTTTAAAAAAAAAAAAAACATTGATTAAAAGCACATAACTAATGAATACAAATGCCACTTAAAAGTCGGAAATGTATTGTGTTTGTAGAAGAATAAAATCTTTAACTATAACATATATGTGTAAAAATATCTTAACATATACGCTTCATTATCTTATAGATATTTGAAGAAAATGATTAATAGCACCAATGTCTCGATAAAATGGTTTTTTTAACTATACTAAACTTGTTAAAGAATCAACTTTATTAAAGTGAAAGAAAATTAGAAGACGAGCATATAGAATAACATGATTGATTAATATTCCAACAACAAAAAATATACTACAAATAGAGTGGTATGTGGAATGAATCGCTCCAATACATGTCTTCATAAATTGAAAATTAATATACTATGTAATTATACAAATGAAATAATTAGCATGACTTGCAAAATATTATAATGTATATGGGTAAACTTTAACGTTAGTCATAACGAAAAAGACACTTGTAGTAGTTACACTTTTAAAGTCTATATTGGTCTCTTTTGTTTTTATGCTATTAACTATTGTTCTTGAAGGTTCTATAAACTCTAAATTTAAAATATTGTGATTGAATTGTGAAAGATTTTAAATATATGTATAGAGACCAAATTAATTATTACATAATGTTTTCTTTAGTTATAAGAACACATATTGTTTAATCTTAAAGATTTAAATTTATCATGTAAGATGTTTGAACCTTTAGAAATTTGTTCCAATATATTAGGAATTTGCATTCCACACAACTGGGTATTTTAAATCATGTAATATTTGAAGATTGAGTGGTTAACATAAAATCTATCAAATCAAATGATTTTGATAACAAACAGATCAAATATATCTGAATTAACTTGATCCGTTTATTCTTTTTTAATGTTTCTATCATTGTCATTTTATAGTTAAAAAAAGACTAAATAAATAGAATTTTGTAAAAGTAAAAGGCAATAAAAATAAATAAATCTTAAAAATGGAAATGGGGTATCTGAAAGAAAAAAGTTGTAGTAGAAAAACAAATATCTGATTCATGGATTGATTAAAAAAAGATGAGAGAGAAAGGGATCTTCACGAGCATGTCCAAGTTCTTGATTCAATGTATGGTTCATTTTGACATTAAATTAAAAAGAGAAGATAGCGATCATTCAATGAAAAACAGACAACAAACAACATTGGACATAAAATAATTACTGAAAACTAGATTGTTTAATTAATTACTAGCATAAACAGCAAGTTTGGTTGGCTAATATTCAACAAAACATTTCATGCATTGACTTGATTAGCAAGAGTATGATTTATAATCCCACTGTTTTAACCACTGCGCTGTGCTTTGGTTTGCCTATGATACAGTAATCTATTGCTATATACTTTATAAATTGGCCAATGGTGAAGAGTTCCTAAGTTCATTGAAAATTTCCACTATCACATGATGGAATTGTCTTTTAGAGACAGAAGGAACATGCCCAATGGCCACATCATTTTCTATATCAAGAATGTCCATTATATTATATAATATTATCCACATATATTTATTATTGCTTTAAAGGAAGTTGTTTACAATGGGTATATGACAAAATAGGTTTATAATGTAGAGTGCTATCAATTTATAGCCACTCAAAAAATGAAAACAAAAATAAAAATTCTTATATATAAAAAATATTGAAAGAGTCTTAGGAATTATAGAGTATATTGAAAAAATATGTTTTATAAAACTTATTATAAGATTAAAGTTATTGTATTTTATGTATCTTTCATAGTTGAATTAAAATTTTTATTAGACATTCTACATTAATTAAAAATAAGACTAAATTATATAAATAATGATAAATTTTATCTTACTAAATATAATTGAGTTAAATTTAATTTCATTGTCTTAATATAAAGTGATATCAAGATTTAGTAGGACTCAATTAAGATAAATTATTTGAATTTGATTATTTTAAATAAAGTTTTATGATTGAGTTTTACAGATAGAACGTATTTAGAACAATCGATTAGGATATTTAAATTAATTAATCGTTAATAAAATATTAAAAAATGAAAGATTAAACTATATCAATCACCATCCCTTCTTTTAAGAAAAGCAAATGAAACTTTCTTGGAAATGTAAGCCAATAATGATATTTATTCTTTTATGGGAATTGCTTACATATAAAATAATCAAAATATTTCCATTCAAAGATAGTTTATTAACAGCATAATCATGGTCACAATTATATAATGCAATGTGTAGAAAATAATAATTTCCACCAATCTTTGATTGATTCGATGAGTTCTTTATATCCATCCAAAGTTTAATCAAAAGTATTTATAAAAGTAGAGAGATTTTAATTTGATATAATTAGTGTGAAATTTGTTCCAATATCCCTTAATTTTCTGTTTTATAAGTATTTGACTTTTTTTTTAGTTTTGTGGGTTGAGTCTCAATTAGTTTATCCTTATATTGAAGTTTATAATTGTTTGATAATGTTTTACTGTCCCTATAGGATTTTAGTGTCACCTATCACTTCTATAATTATTTAGTTTACAAGTAATTGTCAACTAAGGGAAATCATGTTTAAAGCATTATTACATTAAGTTTATTCAAGGAAACGGATATTTGTTTTAGGATATTCATGAGTATATAAGAGTAATTCAAGTATTAGATGTTATTGTTTGCTTTGAGTGAGTGTTTTTGTACGTTGGAGTAGAGAATCATTCTAAATTAAGGTTTAAAATTTAATAAGAGAATTATAGTTTGTTATATTGAATTGAAGTATGTTTTGGATTCGATTAAAAATTTGTTGTTGACTCATCTAGAACTTGATCCTGGGCATTGAATAATTATTTGGAGTTAAAACCTTTCGGAACATGAAAATTTTGAAAGGAGTGGTTGGAAATTACATTTTAAACTTGTTGAAATATGTAGAGTGGTGGAATTAAGTTTTTAGACTAATTTTAAAACAGTTATGCAAAATTAAGTGGTTTTTCATATGTTCGATGAATCTCAATCTCAATTCAAGTTAAGTTTCATTTCAAGCTTCAATTTAGTCAACAAATCTAGATTAGCTTAATGAATCTCTGACATTAGAACAAATTACGATCATTTTTTAATTTTATTTAAAACATATCTATATTCCGTCATAGTATTATAAGAAATTTTACTTAGTATAAATAACTAGGGAGTTTTCTGTTCATATTTTCAAGACACCCCACACTTTTAAATGTGGTTCTCCTTTTCTTTCATAACTCATACTGAATTTTATTACAACCTTTATAAGGAATTATATTTGAGAATATGACAGGAAAAATATAAAGTTTCACCATATATATTACTAACTTTATTATATATAAAAATAATATAATTCTAATGTCATTACCAAAAACAACACAACTCAAATGTCAATCCCATTTTATGTT